AACAGGCACCGTTCTAATTGGGCAGGGTATGACACAGGGCAGAAGTCCATGTGAAATAAGCTTTAAGGTCTCCCTTCATGGCCTCTCTTTGCTTTTAGTAAAGGATCAATTTCTTGGCTTAGTTTTCCTCACACAGTCTGGGACCTTCACAGTCTAGGAGACCCTTCCCCCTACACCAGCTCTCACTGAATTATCACAGTGTCAGCTCAGGCCAGCAGTCAGGGCCCGCAGTGATCTGCTGGGTGCCCAGGAAGGAGATGGGGCCCCAGAGGAGCCACGAGGTCCATAGGGAGGTAGAGGCTGCCGGCAGAGACAGGAGCATTGTAATGGGTTGTGTTCCCAAAGTTCATAGATGGACCCTCTCATCACCCAGTACCTGTGAATGTGACCTTATATGGAAATGGGCTCTTGGCAGGTGATCAACTTCAGTTCTTGTTGTTAGGGTCATCCCTAACCCACTATTATTGTGCCACTAAAAGAGAGAAATTGGGTCCCAGAAATGCACCCAGGGATGATGCTCTGTAGAGATGTCACTCTGCTCTCACAGGTTTAGAAGCTGAGAGAAGACCTAGAACACACTGCCTTGTACCTCCTGGGGGAATGTGGCCCAGAAGACACTGATTCCATGCCACTGGACTTCAAAACCACCCAGTCTGTAATGGTGTGTCAGAGCAAACCAAGGGGAATATTCTGCTCTTTCCACATTATTTTTTGTTGGTTATGGGGCCTGAACTCTGGGTCTGAGTGCTGAGCTCTTCGGCTCAAGGCTAGCATTCTACCACTTAAGCCACAGTGCTACTTCCAGCCTTTTCTGCTTATGTGGTGCTGAGAAATGGAACCCAGAGCCTCATGCATGCAAGGCATGCATGAGCCACCTTCCCAGCCCTCCATACTCTTTTCTCCTCCTCTCCCCTGGAGATCCCCCTGGAGTTATCTAGGGATATGTTTGCTTGCTTCCCTAGGAAGCTAGTGACACTCAAACGGCCATATTACCCAGCAGTCCTGGGTACAGGCAGTCCTGAAATCTGTTCCTGGATTGGTTTACCATTTCAGGATAGGAGGAGTCTGTGTGGAGAGCCCTCCTCAGCTCTGGACCCCAGTTAGCAATGAGCTACACTATAAGGCCACACAAAGGGCAGCCATCCTCCAGAGCTTTACCCTCTCGTGGATGAGTCCTATGAGCTCTGGCAGAGAGTAGGCAGCCAGGGGACCTGACATGGATGTATGTACCCCAAGGTGCTTGGTTCTTTTTTTTTTTTTTGTCAGTCATGGGGCTTGAACTCTGGGCTTGGGCACTGTCCCTCAGCTCTTCGACTCTAGGCTGGCACTGTACTGCTTGAGCTACAGAGCCACTTCTGGTTTTCTGGTGGTTTACTGGAGACAAGAGTCTCATGGTCTTTCCTGCCCGGGCTGGCTTTGAACCATGATCCTCAGATCTCATCCTCCTGAGTAGCTAGAATTACAGGTGTGAGCCACCAGTGCCCGGCTTAGGTGGTTGGTTCTTACAGGGACTCTTACCTGGTGAGAACAGGATAGGGTCCTGCCAGGTAGTGACTTCCTAGAGGAAGGGCGATGGAGGGCTGCACCCAGTCAGAAGCCCCTGGCAGTATTTGTCCAGGTTGTACAAAGCCATCAGTCATGAATGGTTCTCAACCAGGGAGGTTTGCTCCCCAGTTGATACTGGCAATTTAGGTAGACATGGCTGTTCTTCAGGCCTGGTCAGGCACTGCTGACACCTAGCGGTCAGAGTTGGGAATGCAGGTAAACATCCTGCCTCCACCAGAACAATCTAGGACAGCGCATAATGGCCTCATAAACCGTGTGAATTTTGTCACCACCAATGTGTGATAAACTGAATTAAATCTACATATTGTGGTGTGTCACTTCTACTAGCTATCTTAACTTTCCAGTCTCATATCTCTCAACTATTCTCAGTCCACTTTAATAATCTTGAACACATTTTACTGTCTCTTACATTGCAATTATTATTCTTACATTGACAGCCTGTGAAGCTGCTGTGTGTTTGGCATTATTACTATTATTGTTGCTGTTGTTATTATTGTTGTTGTTGTTGCCGGTCCTGGGGCTTGAACTCAGGGTCTGGACCCTGTCCCTGAGCCTCTCTGTGCTCAAGGCTAGAGCTCTACCACTTGAACCTCAGTGCCACTTCCAGCCTTTTCTGTTTATATATACTGAGGACCCAAACGCAGGGCTTCATGCATGCTACACAAGCACTCTACCATTAAGGCACATTCCCAGCCCTGGCAATTATATATATATATATATATATATATATATATATATATGTGATTACATAAATTTTACAACTTTCACTTAAAGTCACAAACACATTTTAACCTTCACAAGGCAAATTGTCATTATCATGGTCTATAAAGTTTGTGAATTCTATAAGCTTTGACAATACAACTATTTCTTCCACATCGGGTAATATGTACCTTTCCTTTTGCTTAGTGTAAGCTGTTCCCTCTTTCCCTCTCATTCCCTCCCTCCCACCACTGCCCTTAAGTTGCTTAGTTCATTTTCATTAGTGTCCAGTGCAGCTGATGGGCCCCTCTGTTGTATATTTTCCCATTTCCCTCTGATTCTGTGTCCTCCTAGCTTCCCTCAGATGTACACACACACACACACACACACACACACACACATCTATCTATATATTTATCTTTCTATCTAGAAATAGATATAGATATACCATATATGAGGTCAAGACCATGGAGTCATTTAGAAATGATATGACAAATTAAGTAGAGGTCCTTTGTTTCTTGAGTCCTGTTTACTTTGTCATATCTCCTTGCGTTTCGAATTTAATTTGCACATATCAGGGAGACCATGTGCCATTTGTCATTCTGATCTTGGCTTACCTCACTCAAAATGATTTGTTCTAGAGCTGGGAAGGTGGCTCAGTGGTAGAGCGCTTGCCTTGCCTGCATGAGGCCCTGGGTTCGATTCCTCAGCACCACATAAGAAAAAAGAAAAAAGCCAGAAGTGGCGCTGTGGCTCAAGTGGTAGAGTGCTGGCCTTGAGCTGAAGAGCTGAGGGACAGCGCCCAGGCCCAGAGTTCAGGCCCCACGACCAGGTCCTGAGGAGGACCGTGTGCACACCTAGCACATCCTCTGGTGGGAATCAGTGCTCACTGCACCCCCGGGTCCTGAGGAAGACAGTGTGCACACCTAGCACACCCTCTAAGAGGAGTCAGCACTCAAGGCACCCTCAGACCCCACCCAGCTTCCCAGCTGCACCCTGGTCCCACAGAGGCCCACAGGCCCCACCATGTGCCGAGGGGCGACCCAGCAGCAGGCAGCCCAGCAACTTGTGTGCAGGGGCGAGAGGAGGGGTACTGGGGTCAGGAGGAGGGGTCGGGTGGGGGGTTCAAGAGGGGTCAGGTAGCCAAGCGCCGGTGGCTCACGCCTATAATCCTAGCTACTCAGGAGGCTGAGTTCTGAGGATCACAGTTCAAAGCCAGCCGGGGCAGGAAAGACGGGAGACTCTTATCAATAAACCACTCAGAAAACTGGAAGTGGCGCTGTAACTCAAGTGGTAGAGTGCCAGCCTTGAGCTGAAGAGCTGAGGGACAGTGCCCAGGCCAAGTTCAAGCCCCACGACTGACAAAAAAAAAAAAAAATAGAGGGCTCGGGTGGAGGAGGTCAAGTGGAGGGACAAGGTGGAGGAGGAATCAGGGGGAGGAGGGTTCGGGTGGAGGAGTGGTCAGATGGAGGGGTCAGATGGAGGAGACATCAGGTGGAGGAGGTTAGGTGGAAGATGTCAGGTGGAAGAGGAATCAGGTGGAGGAGGGGTCAGATGGAGGAGGGATCAGGTGGAGAAATCAGGTGGACGAGGTTAGGTAGAGGAGGGTTCAGGTGGAGGATGTCAGGTGGAGGAGGAATCAGGTGGAGGAGGGGTCAGATGGAGGAGGTCAGGTAGAGGAGGAGTCAGCTGGAGGAGGCCAGGAGGAGGAATCAGGTGGAGGAGGGTTCAGGTGGAGGGGGGTCAGGTGGAGGAGGCAGTCAGGTGGAGGAGTCAGGTGGAGGGGGTCAGGTGGAGGGGGTCAGGAGGAGGGGTCAGGAGATTGGGGTCAGATGGACAGGGGATGGTAGAAGGGGGCAGGATTCCCTCCTCTGAGCCCAGGGGCGTTTAGGGACAAGGACGAGTGGCTGTGGGGTGGTCAGAACTTGAGGACAAGGGACCGGACAGGGGCTGAGATCAAAGGCGGTGGCAGAGATGTCTCCTAAACCTGGGGTCAGGGTCTCCTGGGGGACAGGGTCTGTCCCCTGGTTAGTATAACCAAAACTGTCCCCAGAACGCCAAATGCAGCCTGGAATACAAAATCACCAACAGAAACACACTATTGTTGCCAACTGCTTTACATGCACAGTAACATTTAACCCTTCTATTTGTCTATATTATCAATTTTGATTGTTTACTGTTCATCATACATTCGGTATATAACGTAAGTTCTACTGAAAGTGACAATGATACCTATAAAAATATACTTTACTCTCAATGTCTGAGGAGCTGTCCTTCCTGACGAAAGCATCCCCAAACGTGTTTTTCCTAAGGTGGTCTGTTATTGTTACATAAAAAGGTGACGACACAAATTCCACTCCTCTGTATGTTCTCTACTAACCAAGAAATGATAACATTCCTCCGACCACCCACATTCAAAAACTAACCTGGCCAGACACTGGTGGCTCACATCTGTAATCTCAGCTTCTCAGGAGGCTAAGATCTGAGGATTGCAGTTCAAAGCCAGCCTGGACAAGAAAGTCTATAATACACTCTTATCTCCAATTAACCCCAAAAAGCCAGAAGCAGAGCTGTGGCTTGAGTGGTAGTGTGCTACCCTTGAACAAAAATGCTAGGGACAGCACCCAGGCCCAAGGACCAGCACCCACATGGACGCACGTGTGCACGAGTGCCCACACACACACAAGCTGGCAACAGTAGGCTATTTTGATTATAGTACACAGATCACACATACAATGACTTAATAGAAGTAACTTTATTTCTCATTAAAGTGCAAAGGTAGATTTTAGGATGGCAATGGTGAAATCTATGCTCTCATTCCCTTGATTCAAAGCATGACAGTCTTCTCCCATATGTAGTTCCCAAAACCACCTTGGAGATTATCTGACTCCAGTCCCTAAGGGTTAGAGCCATTATTTCTGAGAAAGGTTTACAAAATAAACTATTGACTACAATTATAAAGGACAGACATCCACAACTTCATTCTCCTAACCAGAGAATCAGGTGGTCATCTATTGTCAGGCCTGGAAGTAATGCCTATTACTTGTGTCCAAATCCTTTAGATAATGTTCAGTTATATATTGTCCCATTTGAGATAACGAGGCTGAGAAATGTGGACTTCAGTGTGTGGCCAAGAGAAGAGAATGGTTTCAGAGAACACACAGCTCATCTCTTCCATGCAGGATTTCCCTGTATAAACTGGGTTTGATGAGAAGACATTTTCTACAAGTTTTCCTACAGAGGGTTTTTCTCCTGTGTGATTCCCCTGATGCTTGCTAAAATTTGACTTATGGTTGAAAGACTTCCTACATTATTTATATTTACAGGGTTTCTGCTTTATGTTGCGTTCTCTGATGCCTGCTGAGGTGTGACTTCTGGCAAAAGGTTTTCCTACATTTATCACATTCATAGGGTTTCTCTCCTGTGTGTGTTCTCTGATGCACAGTAAGGACTGACTTCTGGTAGAAAGATTTCCTACATTTGTTACATTCATAGGGTTTCTCTCCTGTGTGAGTTCTCTGATGCACAGTAAGGTCTGACTTCTGGTAGAAAGACTTCCCACATTCATTACATTCATAGGGTTTTTCTCCTGTATGTGTTCTCTGATGTACAGTAAGTTTTGATTTCTGATAAAAAGTTTTTCTACACTCATTACATTCATAGGGTTTCTCTCCTGTGTGTGTTCTCTGATGCACAGTGAGGTCTGACTTCTTATAGAAGGATTTCCTACAATCATTACATTCATGTGGTTTCTCTCCTGTGTGAGTTCTCTGATGTAAAATAAGATCTGACTTCTGGTTGAAAGACTTTGCACATTTGTTACATTCATAAGGTTTCTCTCCTGTGTGAGTTCGCTGATGCCTGCTGAGATTTGACTTCTGGTTGAAAGATTTTCTACATTCATTACATTCATAGGGTTTCTCTCCTGTGTGAGTTCTCTGATGCACAGTTAGATCTGATTTGCGATAAAAAGATTTGCTACATTCGTTACATTCATGAGGTTTTTCACCTTTGAGAGTTTGAGGTTGTACAGTGAGATTTGACTTCTGACAGAGAGATTGTACACACTTGTTACGCTTGTAGGGCTTCTCCTGTAGATGCTTTCTCTGATGTTTTCTACAGTATGGTTTCTTAAAGGATTTCTCACATTCATTCTCTTCGGTGTGGATGTTCTGATATGTTTTTAGTATAGGTTTTATGTAGAATCTTTTCCCACATGCAGCACATTCTAATGTTTTCCTCCCTACATGAGTTATTTCTTGGACAATGAGAGCAGGCTTGTCATAGTCTTCCCTATATTCATTGTACTTATAGTATGGCTCTCCCAAACAAACCCTCTTCTGTATAAAGAATATGGTCTCTGAGTTTAATACCTTACGTTCTCCACCATATTCAAGATCCTGCTGACCATTTGGACTCTCATGAGGCTTACTAAGATGCTTAGACTGTCTAAGACATTGTTCGACTACATGAGAGGCGCCAGGCTTCTCTCCAGCATGCATCTCATCAGGCTCACTATGGAGAAGCATGTTCTGATGAACAATAAACTCCTCAGTCCTCATCCCTAAGTAGTTCCCATTATTCATTATCAGCTCTGACTTAGGGTTTGAGCTCAAATTAAAAGTTCTTCCTAATCTAACTCTTTCCTCCACTGTGTTGCTGCTGGTGATTACAACTTGCCACAGATGTCTGTCTGGACTGCCCTGGCACATCTCAATCTGGTCATCTACTTGCTGGACATCTGAAATAATTAACAAAAAGGAAGAAAAAACCATAAATGATATCCAAGCATTTTTTAAGGAATAATCATGTAAAGGTAAAGACATTTCTTCCCATCCTACTTGCTAAAGATTTTAAAATAGCAATACTAGAGATTGATTTATTAAAACTATATGTGTTTCTCCCTAATGAGCTAATTAACAAGGTAATATTTTACATGTAAAATCATGTTTTTCCTCTGCCTCAAGATTTTTTTTCCTCTTTTAGTATCAAGGGAAATATTCAGTCAAACACTCATTTACCAACTACAGCTCGAGGGAAATATTCAGTCAAACACTCACTAACTACAGCTCGAGGGAAATATTCAGTCAAACACTCACTTACTAACTACAGCTCGAGGGAAATGTTCAGTCAAACACTCACTTACCAACTACAGCTCTAAGCTAAGTACTTACCATCTGCTATTTGTTTTCCTTGAGTTGTTTTGTTTTGTTTTCTGAACAATTATGAATAATTTATGCTGCTTGTCTTCTCAACCTATAGCTTGGAAAATATAAATATTTTCTAGGATCTAAGACTGTAAGGGTATATAATAAGGTCCTTTGCCTGTTAGGTAAGCAGTAAGAATTTATAATACTTGTTTATATGTTTATATATTTGTTCAGTTCTCATTTCTCCCTCAGAACGACTATAAGGCATCCATGAATATTTTCCTTTTTTGTTGTTTTGGTCAGTCATGGGGCTTAACTCTGGGCCTGGGCACTGTCCCTCAGCTCTTCAGCTCAAGGCTAGCACTCTACCACTTGAGCCACAGCACCACTTCTGGCTTGCTCTGCTCATGTGGTGCTGAGGAATCGAACCCAGGGCCTCATGCATGCAAGGCAAGCACTCTACCACTGGGCCACCTTCCCAGCACTCTATGGGTATTTTCAAGTTGCTACTTTTACATTGTAAACAGAGTATCTTTCAAATTACTATTCTAACACTTCTACCTCTCAGAACCACAGCAAACAAAGGAGACACCAGCCCTGAGTGGCCATCCTCTCTTGTCTAAAAGCTTTGGTTCTGAATGCCAGGCTTTGTGGCAGCTACTTTTGAGAAGCCTTTTTTCTGGATTTTCTGGGCCCAACCTCCCTCCTCAGTTCCCAGTACATGCATGTTCCTAGGTTCCACAGAAAGTAAGGCCTCCTGAACATTTCTCATTTTTTTATTTTGGAATGATTTCCACAAAGAGAAAAGGAAAAATGCCAACTTTAACTCTACTCCCACACAGAATTCAAAATGCCTCCATATGAATTCTTGGTTCACTTAGCCTTGAGACCAAGGACATCTTACTCCTGCTAAGAATAGTTCAACACGGCCGTACTAGCAGGGATCTGCTCTTTTCAACATCCCTGTCCAGGATGCACTGACTCACCTGGGAAATTCTGGTCTGGGGCTCCTCCCACTTGTGGCTCTGCCACAATCACTTCAGGTTTATGAACACAGTGTCCTGTTAATGGGAGCAGTGCAGAAGTTTTACCTGTGCTGGATTCTCTGTGGTGTGAGGATCTCAGACATTCTGGTATACAAGGCTGCTCCTAAACCTATTTTCTCATCAGCTCATGGAAGACCTTCTCTATAAATACCAGCTTTTGATTTTAAATACCAGGTTTAAACTACTGTTTTCCAAAGTCATATACCCAACTGTAATGTATCGTATATATCCACCTATATGTTGTATGTCAAATTTGGAAAAGCATCACCTTAAAATTAAGCTGCCCTTAGGTAAATAATGATCTCCCTAAAACTTATTGCCCTTATTACCACTCTAGTGTAACACCAGATTTTTTCTCTGTCTCATGCAGGAAAAATGGATCTTATCTCATAAATAGACATATTTGGTTTTCTTTCTCAAAATAATGTAACTTCTTTAAAAGAAAATACATTCACTTGACTTATGTTGTTATCCACACAGCCACAAAAGCACCATCACCTGTGAACTACCCAACTAACAAGCTCTGAAAGAATTCATGAAATTTTAATAAATACCTGGTCTTTAAGAATGGAAGGAAAAAGGCAACTGGCACTGGTGGCTCATACCTGTAATCCTAGCTACTCAGGAGGCTTACATCTGAGAGTAACAGCTCAAAGCCAACCAGGTGGGAAAGTATTCAAGATTCTTATCTCAAATTAACAACCCTTCCCCTCTCCAAAAACAAAAACAAAAACAGAAGTGCAGCTGTGATTCGAGTAGTAAAGCACTAGCCTTGAACATAAAAGTTCAGGGACTAGGGCTAGGAATGTGGCTTAGTGGTAAGATGCTTTTCTAACATGTCTGAAGCCCTGGGTTTGATTCCTCAGTACCACATAAACAGAAAAAGCTGGAAGTGGCCTGTGGCTCATGGCAGAGTGCCAGCCTTGAGCACAGAGAGGCTCAGCAACAATGCCCAGGCCCTGAGTTCAAGCTCCAGGACTGGCACAAAAAAAAAAGAAGAAGAAGAAAGTCTAAGAGTCAGAAAGTAATTGGAGTCTTAGTCTTTAAGAAAAATGGGGAAGGTAGATTTACCCAAGAGCAACCATGGAGACTGAATACTACAGATGTCCAATGCATGAGAGCAGCTGTCCCAAGCTGCGGAAGCTGGGACACTGCCAAAAACAGCTCAACATACACACACAGGCTCCGTTCTCCCAAATCTCCCTACTTAGAATGGACTGACTCACCAGCAAAGCTCTGGCCTGAGGGTTCTCCTACCCATGGCTCTGCTCCTTGCTCCAGCTTAATAATCGCCTCAGGTTTGGGAACACAGTGCCCTGTTAATGAGAAATAGTATAGCATTTTGGCCAAACTACTGACTTGACTCCTTGAAGAAGGATATCAGGATGTTTTCAAGAGTTGTGAAACCAGCCAGGCAATGGTGACTCACGCCTGTAATCCTAGATACTCAGGAGGCTGAGATCTGAGGACTGTGGTTCAAAGCCAGACCAGACAGGAAAGTCTGTGAGACTCTCATCTCTAATAAACCACCAGAATACCAGTGGTAGAACACTAACCTTGAGCTAAAGAGATGCAGAATAGCACCCAGGCCCAAAGTTCAAGTCCCATGACCAACAACAAAAAAAGAGTTTTGCAACCATTTAAACTTTTTGTTATATTCCATGGACTGGAATCTTCTATCTAAATATTATTGAACCTGACAAGTGTGAGTTAGTGTGATTTTGCTCACCCAAGGACACCAAGCTGCTGTAGGTCTCCAGCATCACATCCCTGTAAAGGGTCCTTTGAGCATTGTCCAGGTCCTGCCACTCCTCCCAGCTGAAGTCAACAGCCACATCCTCAAATGACACCAATCTCTGCAAAGGGATATTTCAAACATTAGCCCTCAGTCAAGAGAACACCAGGGCTGGGAAAGTGGCTCAGTGGTAAGAGCACACACCTTGAGCTGAAGAGCTGAGGGACAGTGCCCAAGCCCAGAGTTCAGGCCCCACAACCGACATTTTTCTGTATGTGTGCTTAGGTCTTACATAAGACGGTTGGAGCTTACTCTCTTATCTATACAATGGAAGAAATAAAAATCAAGGTAGAAAGATCTGCCTCTGTAGTAATTTGTCAATTACTAAAGTTTCCCTTATAGATCAGTAAATGTCTTTGATGCTAGCAACAGGGACATGATAAAAATTCATTTCTAAGCTGGGTGCTAGTGCTGTGATCCTATATAGGCAGGAGGCTGAGATCTGGGAATCACAGGTTGAAGCCAGCTCAGGAAAGAAAATCCATGAAACTCTTATCTCCAATCTACCATGTAAAGCTAGAAGTGGAGGTATGGACCAAGTGGTAGAGATCTAGCCTTGAGTGAAAAAGCCAAGCAAGAGCATGGGGCCAGAGTAAAAGCTCCAATTCTGGTATTAAACATTTTTTTAATTTAAATTATCTTCTAAGGAGCTAAGGATATGGCATAACATTAACTACAAATTGGCATCTGGAAATAGCATATTGGACTTGTTTAGATATAAGTTCACTAAAAATCAGGGAAATGGGGCTGGGAATGTGGCTTAGTAAGAGTGCTTGCCTAGCACACACGAAAGGTGGGTTCAATTCCTCAGCACCACATCAACAGAAAAGGCCAGAAGTGGCACAGTGACTCAAGTGGTAGAGCTAGCCCTAAGTACAGAGAGGCGCAGGGACAGAGTCTAGACCCTGAGTTCAAGCCCCGGGACTGGCAAAAACAAAAAAACAACTGAAAAGCCCGTTTAAATCTTCTACATAAAAGTGTTCTCATGAACAGCAAGCCCACTCAGGAAATCACAAAGATTATATGTTACAAGAGATCTAGTGCTGGAGGAGAACTGAGCATTGCCCTCACTTTCTCCTTGATGGGACGCCAGGGCTGGTGTAAGAGCCTATAAGGAGGCATGCGTTTGACATGCACAGTGGCAAAAAGCACTAACCACACCTCCTATGCCACTGCACTGTTAAATCAAGAAGAACAGGAACTAAGCAGGCTATCCCTGACAATCGCGCTTCCTCCCATTACTCTTCCTCCACGATCAAGGGTGCTGCTTTAACTTAACTGATGACAGCTACGAAAGCAAGGAACAAATCATGCATCTCAAAGAACTTGCAAAAAAAAAATCCAACAAAATAAAGGACCTATCCAGGTGGCTTACTCCCTGGCACATGCCTATCTTGGGTTCCTTAACTGCAATTTTTGCTCATACTAATTGTGCCTTGCCTGCTCAGGTGCATGCAGAACATCGTCATGGGGAAGATGACACCCATCACCAGTCAGTCTGTCAGTCAGATGCTCCTAGGGGGCACCTGGTCCAGTGTTCCTGGCTGACTACTTCGGCCCCTCTCAGCAGGAAACAGCTCCGGTACCTTCACCCATACTCCCAACCTGTTGCCCCCACTCAATCATTAAACCAAAGAGTTGGGAATGTTAGTCCAATAAGCTTCCTTCCCATAGCTTAGCACACTACCCCCTCCACAGCTTGGCACGCTCCCTTCCTAGGCAGCACTAGGCCCATTTAGTAAAGGCGGTAAATCATCAGCCTCCAGCCCCCTGACCTTGGGACGGCACTTCTATGGGGCAGCTACCACCATAGAAGGCAACAAGAGCCTCTTAAAGTGACCTTCAGATCTGGGCAGCTGCACAGGACCTTTATCTACTACTTGGGCAGCAGCCATCAATCCTAGTCTGCATGATGAAGCCCCTCGTCCTCACGCCCACACCAGAGTCTCTGCCTCCCAGCCCCTTCTAGCCTCAGTAAGTTATAGAGGTCACCTCAGACAATAGCCAGCAGATCTTCTCACTCTTCTCTTGCTGGCCCCTTTACTAGCAATAAACCTTTTCTTTATTCTTTGTATCTGGATGTCTGCGTAGTTTTCTGGCAAAGTCTAAAATACTCCAACTCTACATGCCACATTAGCAGAGCAACAAAAGTACAATCCAGGTGAGTGATGAGGAATGATCTGGCACATATCAGACTTAACTTAGTTCCCACAATAAAAATGTGATGTGTTCATTGTTGTAAGTTCCTAAAGATTAAAATATGTTCATAGGCCCCCTAATACTTCCTCCAAAAATAATAAAGAACTTCTAGCATCACCCACCTCCTATAATATAGCACATAGACAAGAGGGGAATAATATACTTCTTGACTAGATTTGCATTCATGGAATGATATAAGGGAAATGGAGAGAGGCTTAAGAGACAGTCAGAGACAAGAAAAGCAATGTGAAATATGGTCACTGATAGCAGGATACAGAAAAGTAAGAATAAGAAACAGCTAAGTAATTCCAAAAAACAAGGAAGACGATAAAAGAAGTTGGAAAAAGTTTGGTACTAATCTGTTATGCAGAGGGCACAGAGTTTTTGAGTCTCACTACAAATGAAGAATGGCCAACCACCCCTCCATCCCCCCCTGCTTGACAGTACCAGAAAGGCTGACTCCCCATTACACAAAGAGGAAATGTATGTAGTGACGAAAGAAAACCACCTTCAATTCAGTTCTCTGTCAGAGAAAGTATTCTACAAATTCAGACTGAAGATACTTTAAGATAAAGGTAATTCATTAATGGGGGCTGGGAATGTGACTTAGTGGTAGAGTGCTTGCCCAGCATGCATGAAGCCTTGGGTTCGATTCCTCAGTACCACATACACAGAAAAAGCTGGAAGTGGTGCTGTGGTTCAAGTGGTAGAGTGCTAGCCTTGAGCACATTCCCAGACCACAAACTATCTTTTATTTATTCATTTACTCATTTTGGTCAGTTGTAGGGCTTGAACTCTGGGCCTGGCACTGTCCCTGAGCTCTTCAGCTCAAGGCAAGTGCTCTACCACTTTGAGCCACAGCACCACTTCAGATTTTCTGGTGTTTAATTGGAGATGAGTCTCACAGACTTTGCTGTCGGTGCTGGCTTTGAACCGGGATCTTCAGATTTCAGCCTCCTGAGTAGCAAGGATTACAAGTGTGAGCCACCAGTGTCTGGCTCATCTTTATCTTATTTATGAACATTTCCTTAAGGCTGAATCTTAATTTTTAATTTCTCCATTTTAATTCTTAGTTCCACTAAAATTCATAAAATACAATGTAGACCAAACAATAATAATAACACAACTCACCAGAGATCCATTTGATTTTTGTTGTTGTTGGCAATGTATAGATAATTCTGGAAGCATATCTGGGAAAGAAGGCAAATGAAGTACAGTCAGGAAAGAACAAGTGTGGGTTTGTCACAGATTTTCCGGCTCAAAACACTACCTACGAACTGGAAAAGAACAAAAGACTTCCTATAGGAGAAGAACCTTTTATGTCTTCAGTAGAGGCACAGTCCCTGTGAATGGTGTATCAACAGTCCATCTGTTTGGATTACTATTACCTACAAGAACTGATAACAATTAAGGTTCCCTTAAAGAAAAAACTGAGTAATTTAAATTAAATAATATTATGTCTTCATGAAAATTAGTATTACAGAAATACACTTAGGAGTTTATAAATTAATTTCCTATTAATGCAAGAATATTATATGGGATTCCATTGAGTTTTTCCAATACCTCTTTGCCCTGAGTTCAAGCTCTGGGACCCACATCAGAAATAGAGGAGAGGGGAGGGGGAGGAAAAGAAGAGGGGGAGGGGAAAAGAGGAAAAGGCAATGTGGGCAGGTTAATTTTAATTTTTTCTGTATCACAATAAGATTTTTTTTAGTTTACAAAAACAAAATTAATTTATTATAGGCTGTGTCCCAATGCTTGAGATCAGAAATGTGGCAGATGGGAGGGGGGATTGGAATATTTTCACAGACACGACCAGCTAATATCTCCAAAAAAATTTAAATTTCTTTTTTTTGTTTTTTATTGTAAAAATACTGTACAGAGGGGTTATAGTTACATGAGTAAGGTAATGAGTACATTTCCTTCCAAGCACTATTACTTCCTCCTTTTTTCCCCCAATTTCTATAAGTTTCAGATTTCAGAAGTTACTAGAAATAAAATCTCTGTATGTGTAAGAGAGCATGTACTATATTTTATTAAGAATGAAACAAGTATATACAACCTTTCAGACTTCAAGAAATGTAAAATAGGCTCATTGTACCACAGAATGTCATTTTTCAAGAGCTGGTTAATAAAGTGGCACACATCCATGTTAATAATATTTTGAAGTCACAAAAGTCAGAGGAAGTGCTGAGGATAAACGGCCTGCCTGTTTCATGTATTTTAAAGCAATGTTTGTGCTACATTGGCTGCGATTTCCAAAATGAAATCCGTAAGTGAAAAAAAAAAGCTTGAGTAGAAAGTGGCAAAATGGCTAACACTAGCTAACAGGTGTGCGAATCGTGCGGCCGGGCCCAGACCCCTCAGCGGGTCTGTGCTGCTGTTGCCGGTTTCAGGAGGAGCCTCCCGGCTCCGTGCGTTTGAGCGCCCGCCCGCATCCTGACACCGGGCGGGAAGGGATGCGGGCAGGGGGCGGGGCTGGGGCGCGGCCGGGACAGTCACCCCTGCTCCCGCTGAAGCTGGTCCCGTGGTCCTGTGAAACGTGGGGTCGCTATCAGGTAAGGCAGGGGAGGCTGACTGGCTCGTTCCCTTCCTGAGTCCCTAAGGAAGGAGATCCCCGTCAAACTCTGCCGTGCTTCCTGAACTCCAAAGCGGGGAGGCCGGCACGGAGTCACAGGCCCCGTGGAGCTATCGACGCGGGTGCAGAAGGGCCCAGAAACGAGCGCAGGAGGGACGACGCGGGGCCTCCAGCACGGCTGCCCGGAGCCCAGACGGGCC